AATGGCAAACCACTTCTGAAATCTTGCCAAGAAAACTGCAGGGACCTGTCCAGGCAGTTGCCAAGAGTCAACGCTGACTCGAAGGCACACACCCAGACTCCTTCAGCTGCACCCAGGGACAGCAACAGGTTGGGAAAAGCTTAGGGCAGAAGCCAGAACAAGCAAACCAAAGCAAATGCAAAAATATGCACCCAAAGACGTATATTAGAAGGAAAGTCCATATAAAAAGCATTGCCCAGTGGGGGAAATGGCTGATACACATACACAAGGAGGAAACAGTATGAATAAAGATGTATACTGTTTTGAAAATGCATTCAAAGTTTCAGATAAACTTTTTGAGACAACTTCATAAACATCTGGGCTGAACCTGTGATCTGAAAGGAGACAAACTCAATGCAAAGTGAAATGAGCCAACAGTCCACCCCTAGTTTTTTCTTTACTTACATCCCACCCTTTACTCGGACAGAGAGGACATGATTATTGAATCCTTCAGCTTGCAGGCTGCGCATTTCGCCATTCAGCTCAATCTCCTTCCCTTCGAAACACTCCAATCCATGCAGGAAGATGGAAGGCTCAGAGAAGAACTGGAAAAAAGCAGGAAGAGCAGGGAACAAGACAAAAACAAGGTGAGGGTTACTTGGTCAAACTGCAAAATGTGGGAAGTCTTGACGTGTGCTGTGATAGCATTTCAGTGAGAGATTGGCAGCGTGCCATTCTGAATTTTGATAAAGAATTCAAATTCTGTGAGATGTTGCTACTGCAATTAAAGGAATTTCAAGAGAACGTGAGTGATTTTGGAAAAGATGTCTGTGAGGTCGATAATAACAGATACAAATTGTTTCAAGTGCTATAGGATTTCCTTTGGCTTTGTTTATATAGAGGTCTCTTCTGGGAAAAATGGGGAAAGGCGAAGTGATAATGGACAGTATAAGACAGCCTTTCCATGGGGTGCTTTTCAGAAGTATGTTGGACTGTAATTCCCATTGTCATCAGCTTGTGCAGCCTATAATCAAGCTGACTGAAGATGATGTGAATTGTAATCCAGTACTTCTAAGAGGCATAACTTAATGAGGTGTAAAAGAATACAGCAATTCTCATTGGAGAGGGCATTGTGCAGAAAAAAATGAAAAATTCCATAGCCAGGAGATACTTTAGTAACCTAAGAACATAAGGCTCTCCTATCTATCAGTCAATCTAGCCTGGCATTTTCCTTTCCATGGTGACCCAGCAGCACTGCCAGAAGCCCATAAACAGAAACAATGCTCTTCTTGATGCCCCCAGCCCCAAAAGATTGCCCTGATGGCTCTAAATCAAATTACTGTAGTCATTCTGACTAATTGACCAGCCATTTCCATATCTTGTAGCAAGCAGTTCCTTAAGTTAATTGTGCCTAATTTGAAAAAGTATCTTCTTTTTCCTATCCTGAACTTACTGTTCACAATATTGGACAATCAAAAAGAGACACTCTTGAGTCAAACTTGACTCCAGGGAACATCATGGACATGTCCATGTAGTTTTCTTGGCAGCAACTGGATAATAAGAACTCCAGAGAAAAGCTTAGGAGGATGGTCATCGTGACTTACAACAGGGACTTTCTTCAGAGAGTGGATAGCCGTGGTGAAGCCACATCCCATGGAGGTCAGCGTTGGATACTCGCCTTCTGAGAGAACATGCTGCTCACCATCAAACTGGTGGCCATCATAAAGAATCCAGCTAAGAAGAGACAATTGTGTTTGATTTGTGTATGACTTCAGAGGCAGTGATCAGAGACTCATCAAAGGAATAATTATGAGTTCATGGAAACCTAATCTCCATTTAAAATTTACGTTTTATAGCAAACCAGCATCCACTGAAAATACACTCACATTTCTGGATGGCAATAATAGCTAGAAAGATTGGAAACTGAAAGTGGAAATGCTCTTAGAAAAAAAAGATAAACTCATTTTATAATTATATATAAAATGTAAGCTCAGAAAAGCCATAAGAGTGCCTCTCTGGGTCTTATTCAGTTCCTTAGAGGCCCAAAAGGAAAATGTTGATTTAAGCACCCTCCCCACCCACTTGTTCTTGGTGCAACTATGTTACAGTAATTTGTTTTTCTCTGTTGTTTTTTCCCATTGAAGTCAACAGCTCAGTTGACAGGACTGTCGGGGGAAACCCCACAAAATGACCCAAAATTATATTTTAACTACTTTAACATTGCTGCCTTATATGAAAAGTATCAACCCATTCAATCATTTCACTGTCTGAACTGTACTTTGGATGGACTTCCCTCCATGTGTGAGACCCAGGAGAATTGCTCCAATTGCCTCCTGTATAAACTTCTGGATCCTACGTTCTCTTTCCTGAGTGGAAGGGAACTGAGCACTGTTTCTTTGTGATCTGGAGCAGGAAACACTGGCAGAATGGCAAGAACAAAATGTGAATGAATGAGGGAGGCCTCACCAATGAAACATCATTACCTGCCTCCATTGACCCTGCAAGAACGGGGGATGAAGTTCTCTGGAAGTGATGCTTGGTCCTCCTTAAAAGTCATGGAGTTCCCCAAGAAATCAGGATCGGAGAACAGTTGGATCTGGGGAGCCAAAAATGTCTTGATTTGAACAAATTGCAGAGATAGACAGAAGTTGCTTGGAATACCTTTCTCACAGTTGTAATAATTTTATGATTAAAATGATTTTTTAAATTGCTTCTCCTTAAAGAATCCTGAAAACCAGCATTCTGATGTACAGTATTTATGTATCTACTATGTATTTGTAGTCCAAGACTAATCATAAAAGTGAGGAACAGCAAATATGGCAAATAAATGAAATAGAATAAAATTACATAAACACCTGAAACAGTTAATAATGTAAAGGAGGCACCAGGCAGGTTCTACAAGCCATGGTCTTCAGTGGGAATTTTGCAACCTTCTTCGGGGTTTCTGAGAATTGATCATATAAAAGAAGAGCAGCAATGTCAGAATCACCAGAGCAACTAAAATTACTGACAATTGGAGCTATGAGTTTCAGTTGCCATGGGGTACATAACAGGCATTTTAGTAGCTCATGTGATGCAGATTCAATTTCTGTATCTGAACACAGGTAAGTGTTGCTTTCATAGAGAACATTAGTGTATCTGCCAATTTTCGTCCTAATGAGTAGTGCCCTGATTCATGTCAGAGTAGAGTCTCCTGTGAGGAGCATGAATAATATATTAAAAAATACTGTATGTAGTAGGGACAGTCCAAAGCGGGGGAGGGGGGGCAATTACATGGTAAAAAGGATGGGAATATCTAAGTCCCAAATCCTCTGCACCAATTCTGTTATTATAGAGAAGACAGAAATTTATTGCCAAAGTCTCATGACACTCATCAAACTACAATTCCCAGGGTTGTTTGGAAGAAGCTGTAACAGTTAACCTGGTAAAATCATCATTAACAATGTAGAGCCTTTCTCTTCTGCTGATCCACCTATCTTTGAGTTAGCAGAAAACCAGACTGGCATGAAATTTACTGATCCCTATTTGGCCTCTATTGCTTCTAGTACAAGTTGCTGAAATCAGACTTCTCTCCAAGACCGTGTTTCTCAACCTTGGCAACTTTAAGATGTGTGGACTTCAACTCCCAGAATTTCCCAGCCCGCCCCACTGGGTGGGGGAATCTTGGGGTTTGTGTTCTCCAATCTCTAAATTTTCCCCGTTGGGAGAAAAGGGGTCTGGG